CAATCCTGTAGATGATTTCTATAGATTCATTCATTATTTGAATGAAATAATGCACATGAAACACATAGCTCCTGGTCCTCATAGTCTCATGACTTCCTAATTCATGGGAGTTATTATTATAATAATAATTTGTTTTTTGGTTTTGGAATGAATTTTTATATATGGCCTATATAAGAAAATACTTGTTTTGGGAATGAATTTTTAAATATAATCTACATATGCAAATGTATGCAGGTTTTTAAAATAAGGTTACAAGATTCCTTTTATGTCAGAATTAGTCCTATTCTTTTTAAACTCAAATCTAAAAAATCCCTCCTAGAAACTGTGAACTGAATGGGTTCTACCTCACACCCTTCCACCCACTCTTCTTTCTACCAGGTCCTAATACTGCTCAGAGAGACACAAAACACAACTTTGACTATCACTTGAGGAGGGGGAGCCAGGAATTCACCTCTAATGTGAAACTGCAGAGTAATATAATTTCACAACTTCCAACCTCTGACAGACTCCACAAGCAATATTTGCAAAAGCAATTTTGCAATGACCACACTCAGGAAATCCCCAAAGAATGTTTAGAGCTTTGCACATTTATAGATTTGTTTTAATTCTAAATTTTCCCCAAACCACATCATCTGAAAATGTAATGCTCCTTTTCAAATTAGTTTGTCTGCATTAATTCTAACATAGTGCAAAAATATCATTCCATTGGACCAAAATTTCACAGACTAGTCACTATAATATTGTTTGAAATCATACATAGCTGTAAGCAACTTACATATGCAATGGCAAAGAATCAGGTCAAGAACTCACAGCATCTGAACTACAGTTATTGGTAGCCAGGGGCTAGAGGAAGGAGGGAAGAGGGAGTCACTGCAAATGTGTATTGAGATTTCTTTTGGGGATGGAGGAAATGTCCTTGAATTAGAAAAATGTTATGGTTGCCCCGCCTTCTGACTATGCTAAAAAACCACTGAATTGTATACTTTAAAAGGGTGAATTTTATGGTATGTGAATTATCTCGATAAAAAAAGGTCATAGAAAAAGATGGGTAGAATTCTTTGTGAACTGAGTCAATAAACTATGATAGAATCTGGAGAAAAGGTGCTATTATAGCAATGTGCCTAGTGGCATGGAATAAGATTCAACATACTAAGTGAGTGAAAAAAAATCATGTTCCAAGTGACCCTATGACCCAGACTGATGAAAAATAATAGATGTCTAGATGGATCTAAATTTAAGAATATATACCAAATTGTTACCTGGTTATTTCTGGGATTATGTGTGTTTTTAAATTTTCTTTTTGCTTCTCTAGAGATATATTATTTTCTTAATAAAGGGAATAAAAAGACAAAATCTCTGGGTGCAGGAGATAGATAACAGATGGAGTTTCACTTTAGACCTCCAACCAACCCAAATGGAACAAGGTTCAACAATGTTTCCATTTCCAGGGAACTCACAATGTGTGCTGTGTTGGAAAATAGCCGTCAGCTGCTAAGGACGCAACTGACAAAGCCCAGCAACAATGCTTCAATGCTTCCTAGTTGACTGCCTTCCCCCATCTCTTTCATTTTGATTTAGAAAATACAGGGAAGGTTCTCCTGATATGTTACAAGCAAAGCCAACACCCTTTTTCAACTGCTTTTTGATGAACACAACTACATTTCAACTTATTATAAGAGGCCTTATTCAGTCTGTTATGAGCGATTTTTTGGTTGGTTAGTTCTGTTTCATTGACATCATGTACAAAGTGTTTACCTATTGAGAAGGGGAGAAGAAAATGATATTTTTGAAGTACCTACTATATGTCAGGTGTGTTTCAGACAGTCTTGATGGTGATATTCATTTAACCCCAACTACTGGCCCATGAGAGGAGCGGTGGGGTCTCTACTGTTAGAGACAGACTGCTGCTGGTTGACCCAGCCTGAGGCTGCCTGGCTGGTAGGTGGCTGAGCCAGGGTCTGAATGCCTAAATATCTGACTCCCCAAAATCATGCCCTAATCCTCTACAACCCTTCCTCTCACCCTTTGGTCCCACAAGGTTCTTGTAGTCAAATAATTGTCAAACTGAACCAGATTTCTGTAATGGCTTCTATGAAATAAAATCTATCAACTGCCAAACAACTCAGTTACTAGATCACCAGCCCTCAGCCCTGACTTTCCTCATTGAGGATGAAGCCCCCTCCTCTCCGTGCACACACACGCCATATGCTGGAACCATCCTATTGGAGGAAGAAGGAAGACAGGGAAGGGGGAGGAAGTAAGCCCTTCTCCCGTGCTGCTCTTCCACACATCAAGGACTCCCCTGGCCCCAGCCTTGCAGTTGGTCCCATTATCGCTTCCACCCCAGCTAATTATAGTCACTGATTACCTAACAGCAAGCCCCACTGTCACCTGCTTTGGCCTGACAGATTAGGCCATCTGGGCCACGTGGCCAGGGTCCGAGAGACACAAGAGGTCATAGAGAGGGGCAAATGGCTCTGAATGGGAAGAAATATGTTTACAACCCTGACAGCTGACTGGGCCATTAAAGGAGCTTTAGCTGTGAGTTCCCAGCTGAAACCCCTCTCCAGGGACCTTACTATTAGCTAATGGGATGTGGCTGCATATTGCTCTTGTTCCAAATGTGGACATGCTAGAAGACTGCATGGTCTCCTTAAAAGGAAAAGAAAAAGGACCCGGGAGAAACCTGGGGGTTTACAGTTGTTTGGGGTTCTTGTTGAACAGACACCAAAACATGTCCACAGAGGCCATGCTCCAATGCTGGCAGTATTCAAACACATTTTCCACTTTCTGTGCTCACGCACATTATATTAAGCAAGTGTATAATACAGTTTATAGCATTAAATAAACTCTGTAGGATGACTTCCATTTCATTAAGAATTTTTGTGTTCTTAACAACAGTGAATCTATCTCAAACATACCTGTGTGTGACCTGGGAGTATTACTACAATGAAGATTCTGAATCTGTGGATTACAGGAAGGGGAATGGCTAGTAGAGGGCAAAATCTACATTTCTAGGAGCTCCTGGAAGATTGCTGGTGCCACTGGTCCCAGGACCAAGCTTTGATCCAAAGAACTAGTTAGTTATTGAATGAAATTAAATTACTGAATTAACATTACACAGAAAACCTGCACACAAGTATTTCTCAAACTGTATTTCAGGGTCAGCTAACATGGCTGCCTCCAGTCCAACAGGTTTTCAGTGGAGTGAGTTCAGTGAAATCGCTGCACTCGCTGCCTCGGCATCCCCCTGAGGATCCCCATCGCTCCTCATTAGCATCCTGGAGCTGAGGAAGCCTTCCGTGATCTCTTCCACTTCATATGTGAAACTAAAAGTTTAGTGCTCTATGCCCTAATTTTTGCTGCAACCCTTGCTGAAGGTTTTATATTTTCCTGATTTCTTAATCTGCCCATAAATTTCATGAAGATTGGACATGCAGTAGGTTGGGAATCCTGATAGTCTATGGAGAATAGAGCTTCAAGACTGATCTGTTGAAAATTTACCTTAAAGAGAAGCAAAATTCGCCAAACCACTTCTAAAAAGTGTGTACACATAACATCATAAAATGCTTGCCATATAATATTTAAAAATAAAAAAGACAACAAAATGGAAGACATGATATAATCACAGCTTGTGTGTGTCTGTGTGTGAGGCATGTGTATTCAAATTTGTAACCGATCCAAGTTTCTTAACCTTTGGTTTGTATCTTCTGTGAGACAGGCCTGACAATCCCCACCTCAGGCTTGTGTGGGAATTAAATGAGATGATGTCTGGCAAGCACTTAGCACACTGCCTGCCTCAATAAGCACTCACCAAATGGGAGTCATGATTGTAATCACTATAGAAAAAGGCTGTAGGAAAATTCACAAAATGTTAACAGTGAGTGAGTTAGAAGTGACTTTTGATTTTCTTCTTTGTACATTTCTGTATTATCCAAAAGTATTCAAAGTGCAAGTATCATTTAAAAATAAATAATTATAAAACAAACTTTATGAAGTGAAATGTTAATTGTAGTTTTCTCTGGTTGGTAAAACATGGGTCATTTTTATTTTCTCATTTATATTTTTAAAATTTGTAAGTTTACCCACAACTCTTTAGTTTAATAATTTTTGAATATGAAAGACCCATCCATTTTAGACCTATTAGGGAGCTGCAGAAAAACCCTGAAAGGAATTATGACAGTGTCATAATTTCTCTGTTGTTTAAATTTATAAAGTACAGATTCACTTCTAAATGAACGTCCCCTAGAATTGTACAGTGCACAACATGGACAGCCATACTTAATAGTACTGAAATAATACCCTCCCACCTATTTCTCATCCCACTCCCCAGAAGGAGTCATTGATAAATTTGATATGAATACTTCCAGTATATGTATAATACCCACATTTAGTATACACATCATACGTGCTCATTTGATTAGGTAAAAGTGCTATACAAGAAAACTCAAGAAAGATTTTAGAGGTCCCTTAAATGTAATAGATACAATTAATCCCTCAAGATCAGCTGTAATGGGGAGGCACGTTCTCCATCTTTTCTCTGCATGAATTTACTTTAGCAAATGTACATTAAGCATCTACTCTATTCCAGGCCCTGTGCTATTTACTAAGGAGACAAAACTAAAGACACAAGCTCTCTGGTCTCAGCAAGTGTCTGGTCTATGCTGGAAATGTGCAGGTCCAGAGACAGTAAAGGAGAGAATAAATCCCTCCTCCAGTGGGGATCCTGGAACACTTTGTGGAGAAGAACTCATCCAACCTGCATCTGAACCGCCATGGATTTGGTTTCCTTGTGCGCCTACACACGGGTTCTCCCACTCCCATCACGCCCTCACAGGTCTCTGGTCTGAGGCTGAAACATGTTGCCTCACTTCTACTCCTAGGCAACCCTACTCATCTTTCAAAATTTAATCAGGAATTATTTCTGGAAACCATCCCTAACTACCCGGAGTGGAGGAGGTGACCTTTGTCCTGGGCATACATCTTTATGCTATACTTACCCAAATGATTAATGAGATTGGACGTCAGTATTTTCCCCCAATTATCATTGTATGATGGGGCAGGACTATCACACCCAGTTCACAATGGCCAATAAATGTTGCCTAAAATTTAAAAAAAACAATGTTAGAGTAGTAGCACTACTTTTAGCCCCCTAACACACGTGGACTCGGTTAGCACCAAGAGTACATATGTGCAAAGTAGGAAACTGCTCCTCTGAGCGGAGGAATTAGAAAAGGCACCTCTCTGGGAGCACCCACCTCCTCAGGTCTCAGCTTAGCACACCCTTGTGCTTATTGAAGAAGTCACCTCTTTGTCCTAGCTGTTCTTCCAGGCCAAAGCAGCCCCAGACAAGCACAAGAGAGGCGGGATTCCAGCCCCAACACAGTCAGCTGCTTGCTTGGACCCTGCTGATTAGTGGTGAGCAAGACGCAGTCTCTCCCCGTCAGAAGCTGAAAATCTGTTCAGCTCAACAATCAAATAAACCCAGGAAGTGAGAGGGTGCTTATAAAGTGCTGAGTCAATGAGTAAGTGAATGGATGTTAAAAAAAATAGATGGATTTTTCTCAGACTGCTTTTGATTGGACTCAGGTAAGTCTACAGTGTGTTTGCTTTGTACTCTAAGCATTGCTTTGAATCCTCACATAGGAGGTTCTAAAAGGATTTCTTCCACAGGCTACAGAGGCCTCTGGCTTGTTTTGAACAGGTCAAGTGTCGTGTTGCACAAGGGCCTGAAGAGCAAGTGGAGCCCAAATCTGCACAGACAGGACTCTTTCTGGTGCTTTCATATAAACTGACTCACCTCCACTTTGACCAGGCTACTCAACAGATGTCCTGTCTTTCCTTCTTGCTTTTGAGTGAGCTTTTTAATGCACACACACACATACTATTTTAACTCAGGCAGAAGATGCAGTGATTAGTGGCAGCCCCCTTGGGTGTTTCACAGGGAGGGTGGTGAGCGAGATCTGACCTCAGTGTTACCCACAGCACTTTGCACGATAGGCAGCATCTCAATGTTGATGTTCTGGGAGAATATTTCAATGCTAGAACTCCTGTTTGATAGGGTGCCTAACGTAAGCCAATGACTCCCATTTGGTGAGTGCTTATTGAGGCAGGCAGTGTGCTAAGTGCTTGCCAGACATCATCTCATTTAATTCCCACACAAGCCTGAGGTGGGGATTGTCAGGCCTGTCTCACAGAACAACCATGGAAAACAAGCCCAGGAAGCTGCAAGGGTGGCCTAAGGCAATCCCACCAGTGAGGCAGGGCCCAGTCTAAATCCTGGGCTTCCTGACCCTGACCAAGGGCTTTTTAATTGCCATACACAGACACAGGCCTCTAGCCACACACTGGGTGACTCTAAAGAGCCTCTGAAGTCCCCAGACATCAGTAAAAGCAGGATCAGCAGTCATTAAAAAGCAAATTATGGCCCACGGTGGCTTTAACTGCCTGTGGGATCAGGCTTTTGCTCTGCAATTGCAAGCCACCACTCTTGTCTCATGTCAAGACTGTTGCAAAAGCATCCTTATTGGGCATTCCAGACTCCCCCCATCTCCCTGTTCACACACTGGAATCAGACCACCTCTTTGCTAGAAGGCAATTAGCATCTCTCAGACCATCCTGCAGATGCATCCCCAGCTTCTCAGCCCAGCAGTAGAGAGCCTCTTGAAACTGTCCTCCCTTACATTCCTGGCCCTTCCCACATTTCCACAATGCCCCCCTCCCCGGAGTCCCTCCTTTAGTCAAGGGGATCTATTCCCTGCCTCCCCCAACCTCTTTACCTGGGGCCTTACCCTCTACCAGCCTTACTTTGGTGCTTCGCCTTCTCAGAGAAGTCTTTCATCCTCTCTCTACCTGTGCAAACCCTTTATCCTCTGAAATTCAGTTCAAATTTACCTGTCTGGTGAAGCCTTCTTGGACTCTTGCAATTGCAAGAGCTGGTTCTATTTCTGGCTCCCATAGCACCCTTGAAATTTACTTTGGACAGGCATTTGGAAGACCTTTCTCACAGAGTCGCTTCTCTCTATACAGGTACTGTCATGTCTCAACTAGATAAAAAATTCTTTCAGCCTAAGTAACACATGTCCTTCAACATAACGTAGTGGAAAAAATCTCAGGGTCTCAGGCCTGGTTCTAACTCATTAGTTGTCTTTATCTGGCCTGGAGCAAGCTTCCTTTCCCTTCAAGTCTCAGTTTTTTTCTATAAAAAGAGAGATAATGATAATGACTCCATGGGGTAGTTAGGAGGTATATTAAGAATTCAGATTGAGTGATCAGCAAGTATGTGGCATAGCCAGCGCTCAGTAAATGTCAGTTACTGTCATCATGGAAGAGGGTGGGATATATTCAGGAAATTAGCTGGTTTTCTGGTGGCTGAGGCTTTAGCTGTGAGGGGAGATGGATGGAGATGGGTCCTGGCAATGGAAGGCGCCTGACACCATGTGAAGAATTCAGGCTTACCCAGAGGACAGGAGTAGTCATCGAAGAGTTTTAAGCAAGGGAAGGACTGATCTAATTTACATCTTACAGACTTCCCTGACTCCCATGTAAAGGAAGGTGTAGAGATTGGGTAAATGGAAGTCAGAACAATGAGGTAGAGGCTGCCATAGTCACCCTGGTGAAGGATGATGAGTATCTGAGGGAGTGGTCCCACGTGACTTGTGCGTTAGTCTATCTTTAAGTTAGTCATTAAATTGGCAAGGTATATGAGACCCAGCCTCTGACTTTGAGGAGCTCATGGTCTACTATAGAGAGACAGGTAAGAAAGCTAAGAAACTAAATGGAAAATCAGGAAAAGAATGTGCAGCACTTGGAAGCACAGAGAAAGAAGCACCACTTGTACCTGACGGGAAGGATGTTTCAGGAAGGTTTCAGGGACCCTAGGAGCTGGGAGGGCTTCACCTTTCTATGCTGCCCTTAGGTTGATCTGGATGTAAATGCCTCCACATTCTAAGAGGGTCCACTGCCTCCAGGAGAGGAATTTCCACCATGTATACTGAACAAGAAGAGGAAATAGTGAGGATCCTTTTTAAGGATAAGATACTATGAGTTTTTTAAATTCTCTAAATTCCATTTTCATCACTATGCTTTAAGTCTTTAATCTCCCCTTTGAGCTTAGTGTCAGTATTTTGCATTTTGGAGGGCAATTATTTGAAGAGGGACACTCATTTTTCTTCTGTTTTATCTATTTATCTGCCTATCTATTTTTAAAGATTCCCTGAGAAAAATTTTTAGAGAAAAACATAGCTCTGAAATGAGCTGGAATTTAACGTTGTTCCATTAACACTTCAGAAAATGCCAGTAAGAAGGTGGAAGAGATACTTACAGACCAAGGGGGCTAACTGGGTATGCACACCATAAGTCCACCAGAAAGAGTATGTTTCAGAATGTGCTGTGTCACCAAAAATTACTTGGTCTCAACATTTATGATCTAAATAATGTTTATCTTTGGGCAGGTGGTTTCTAATTAGGTTGACCAGTAAGTGATTGAGTATAGGAACTGTGATCAAATGAAACCTAATTTGAAAGCCTCAGTAGGAAAGCAGTGAGTAGTTGTGGAAGTGATAAATGCACAACTCCTGGGGGCCATCTACCATCAGTTGTGCCAAACAAATGGAGCAGCCAGGGACTAAGCCAGCAATGCCCAGCTCGCTGAAGGAAGCCCACTCTTTCACAGAAGTTTACAAAGCACTTTCCCATGCATGACCATGTTGGATCTCACCACTCGGCTGAGAATAGACAGGGCTGATGCTTTGTCTGTCTCCATTTACAGATGCAGAAACCAAGATTCAGGTGACTCACCCAAGGTCACAGAACAAGGTCAGGAAGGACAATTCAGGCCAGCTCTTCTGACCCTCAGTCCTGTGTCTGGCCAACTGTCTCTCAAAAACCTTCCTGTAGTGAGAGCTTATAGCAAGAGCCTTGGGGATGAAGGCGTGTGTAAATGTGGTCAGCGCATTAATGGGTATATGGTGACTGCACAGCAATGACCTGACCCACTCCTCTAGCACAGGGGTGTGTGCAATGATGCTGCTGGGCAGGCCCAACTGAGCAGCTGATTTCAGCTCAGGCCCAAAGCTGCCAGGGTCTTACTGGCCTCTCCAGGCAGGGAGAATCCAGTGAAAGAGCCCACATAAAGGAGGCCCTTTCATTAGACTGACTGGAATCAGAGTGACCAGGAGAGTTCTGTCAATGAAGTCTTGGAAGAGAAACAGTATTCTCTGAAGAAGTACATAAGGCAATACTGAGGACCCTCCTACGGCTGGCATCAAAGTATGCAAAGCAAGAAGCAGGTATCCAGCTCAGACTAGGAGACACACAAGGTCAGGGTGAGACAGCAGACAAGAGACACATCTCTTCACTTTGCCACGCTAGGTAAGGGGTCCATTAGAGAGGCAACCTGGAAACTGCGTCAGACCCACCAGCACTTTCAAAGACTTCCTCAAGTATGAAGGCATGAAACACATTTCTTAGGAGGAATCACAGTACCCCATGGTGCCACCCTTGGTTACTCTTCAGCCTCATTCCTTACCACACTCCACACCCCACATATTCCTACATACAGCCCACACACCATCATTACAGCTATCCAAAATATTTCTGCTTCACTTCCTTTGTCAGAGCATGCTCTCTCTTGCTTCTCAGCCTGGACCCATCCTATTTTTGTACCTCATTTCCTCCTTCCTATAGCAATTGCTTACCTCCTACTCATCCTTGGGTGTCAGTCTAAAAGTCACTTGCTGCATTAAGTGTCTCTCCATCACCTCCACCCTTATTAGGCTATGTTCGCCTGCCATGCTCCCCCATATTCTTCTGTGCTTCCTCAGACCTCACTGTAACTCCTGATTCACATTCTATCCTCACCACCCGACAATTACCTGGTTGAAGTGGAGATTGCTAGCACACTCACTATGATAACCCCAAACACTGTGCTATATTATTTGCTGAATGATGGGATAGATTAATTCTTTAATAAATTTAGCTGGTGGTAAAATCTAGTAAACAAAAAGCATTTCTCCATTGTAGATGGCAAGCTCAGTTGGTCTTAGCTCCACAAAGATCCAGCTGGACAACCTTTCTACGTAATGTTGCATAAATACGTATT